ATTCCACTGGGAACAGGTGAAGAGGAACATTTGTGCTTTCTAAAATTCTCTTACAGTTCAATTCACTTGGTTGTGTCTTTTCTCTCCTAGGCTGCTTTGTCTTGCTGTAGGATGCTGCTGAAAAGTTCTGGGTTCATTCCAGAACTAAATGGGTTTCAGAGGTAGAGAGGTACTTGTGCTGAAATAGTAAATTACAGAGATTATTTTTGAATTTCCCTTCCTCTTTTGCTGGTGCATTAACATGGATGTCATCTGGGAATTCCTTTGTAGGTGCTGTAGAAGGATGAATTGCCCAGAGGACTGCTTCTTGTTCTGGCAGATCCCTCTTTCAGAGTCTTTGAACTTTTAGAATAACTCTTTTTCATAAGTTAACATCCTGTCATTTTTGGGTTTGGATTCAAAGCCCATCTTTGGCAAAATTGGCCAAGTACAGGTCATCTGGAAATGTGATGGCAGTTTACACAGTCGTGTTGATTGTAATGCTGATGTTAAGAGAGAATGGGGGATGAGGGCTAAGGTGCTGAGGACTTCTCTTTCAATCACCATGTTGCAACCAAGTCAACCTGTAAAATGTATTTATTTTGCTTAACTCCTGTTGCTGGATGACAGTCCCCTCTTTCTTGACATTTATTTTTATGCTCCTATCCAATATATAACCCTTTATTAGATTTTTGAATTTGAGTCTTTATTTCCATCAGGAAAATTAAAAGATCCACTAGGCTTGTCTGCTGAATACTCAAAATTGTGAACAGCAGTGACTGTTTTGTCAAGACCTGAAGATGAAGAGCATTATTATTACAAATGTCAGTGCATAATTTTCTCCTCCAAGTCATGTTTCCTTGCATGGATTCATAGTTATTTTCTCCAAGATGTTTGGCCTGAGCTCTGGAAGTGACTGTATTTTTGCTGACAAACTAAACCAAAACCCAAATGCTGTTAACTTTTAATTTTAACTGCAGCAGAAATTGTGCCTGAACTAAATATGCAGCATGTAAAATTTGCAAGTTGAATGTTCTGAACTAGTTAGTCTAGACCTAACGAGTGACCATTGAGCTGATAACAAAATATATATTAAACAACATAGAAGTTCTTGATTCTTACGTTCAATTAACTGGTAGCTAAGAGTGTTAGTGATGGCAGGGTTTTCATTGAAATGGGGGGCACTTTGAGGGTCACCAAGGAGGCAAGAGGCAGTACCTTTGCAGTGACAGTCTTAGCCAGTTTTGGGTTTGAGCTACCAGTTATGCACCATTTGGTTTTTCTTCTGCAGGGGGAAAGGATGCAGTTAAGATGGGTAAACTAAGCAAAATGAATGGATGGAACTTGAATCCTTGAACAAGCAAAACTATGGTCTTGAATTAAGATAATTGCCCAGTGTCATTGGCAGCATTACTTAAGTTTTGCTCTGAATGATATAATGTTCTAGGAAACAGCTGTTCTATCAACTAGGAAAATACAATACTAATTACAGGTCTGATGCTTTCTTTGGCATTTAAGGTATTTTCATTTGCTCAAGGTATTTTTAAACTTACTGCCAATTTCTTACTGTTATGTTACTCCTTGCATTTCTTTCAAATATAAAGTCATATCAATAGCACCATCTAAATGGATAAAGAATGAGTGATGTGTAGTTTTGAGTTGTTGGTATATTCATACCAGCTAAGAATATCTTCTGATGATGAATTTCAGTATAAGAGCTACCAAATGAACCTAGTGGTTCTGGCACATGAAATGTGAATGGTATAATGTTCCCTGAAACTTTCTTTACTGGATTGCCAAAGTCATGCTTTTCAAGAACTTTGTGAACTTAAAGCACTTTAAAGAAATATTTCGAGTTCACAGCAGTGGAGAGTGAAAGCCTCTTCTCAAAAAATATGTTGGCTGCTGTTATAGGTCAGCTTTTGCCAACAGTTTCTGCAGGAGATGCCAGTTTGGAGTGGAAACCCAAGAAATGGGTTCAGCGAAGCACTTTATCCTGTTCTTGGCTTAAAGCACATGAATAATCCCATTGACTACCCACGTGTGCTTTACTGTGACTGCTCACATAGTGAAAGTTAGGCATGTGTTTAAATAGTGTGCTTATTTGGGGGCTCCCTGCGTGATGTCTGCTGGCAGAGATTTGATTTTCTTATGGCAGCCATCACATGACCTGTGCAGGGAGCACAGCGTGGTCTGCATTAGCCCTGTGGGCCAAAGCAAAGGCTATTTCTGCATCCACCCCCAGTCCTTCCTGCACTTCTCTGGCAACTCATCAGCTGTTTGCTGCCAATTGTGCTCTCGTGTTTTTGGCACCCAACCGCTCCAACTTGCTGCTCATACAAGTATTGAATTGCCTTTGTAAGGCACAGAGTAGGCTTTTCCTTGTTTAAGATTGTGTATGTGGTTGTTATGACATGGAAAAAAGGTAGATCATTGCTGTAGGTTTCTTCATTTTGGTCAAATTGTGCCCTTTCTGTCAGTAGTCCCATTGAAGTTTATAGAGATGTCAGTAAAGGAGAACAACCATTTTGCAGGTCCAAGCTCACTGTTCAGGAGGCCTAAATGGAGTTTTTTACTTCTGTTGTCTAATGGAAGCACCGTTCTTTATTGGAGAAGACTTGTAAACAGATCATTTATGGAAATAGAGCCCTTTCAGCACTCAAGGGAGGGAAAAGTTAAATACTAGGACAGGTTCTTCAACCTGATTATTTCACAACCATTATATCTGTTGATGCAAAATTGGCTCACTTGGAAAATAGTACAACTTAAGGTTAATAGTACATTTTTTGCATCTCTTGCTTTCCTCTCCCATTCCCTGCATGCACAAGACAGCAGCAGAAAGCTCTGGGAGCAGCATTTCCCCAGACTTCAAAAGGGATTGTTTGCAGGGGAAATTACTGTGACCTGTACATGGCTGGGCCTGAGCTCCAGCACCCTTTGCCTTCTGCATGTTTTCTCTTCCAGAAATACAAACTCAGCAGCAGGCTAGCAGACCTAGAGCCTATAGATAAAAGCAAGTCTGCTGTAGTAGACAACAGTTAGTCAGTGGGACCAGCAAGCCCAGCACTGGAGCTGGTAATCAATGATGCTCCTTCAAAAACAGCATCTCAAACCTGCTTGCTTTGTACTCCTCATGGCTTTTTACCTGCTCTTCAGCCTTTGCTAACAACTCCACTGGAGACACCTAAGAAACTCCAAGCAAAAGGCTGTTAATTGCAACCTAAAGGTAAAATGAAGTAGATTTTCTCACTCAGTTTAGTAATCCTAGCTGTCAAAGAGCTCTGTTATCTTCAGAAATGTGTCAGAGAGTGTTCTTTAATATATAATCACCTTAAATGCAGTGCTTTTTTGCTAGAGCTGTTTGGGAGAGTGAATGTGGTAACGTGTAATATGAGCAGATGAAAAATAGTATGAGTTGAGTGCTTCACTGGGATGAAAACTTGAATGCTTGCACAAACACCACAGAGGCCCTAAAGTGTTGCTGTTAACAGGCTGTAACTTCACGTGTGAAATAGGTAAACAAGTACTATTTTCACAGACTGTGTGTATGCCTTGAATGTATTTCTAAGAGTGTTTGAAGGGCTGTACTTCCAGTAGCATAACAATTATTAGACTTAAACACTGACAAACTAAGGACTAAACTGTTACAAAACTGTATCAACAGCCTTTCAGTTGGCACATGATAAAGTATTTATGATCTGGTAGCAAGTTTATTTTCAAAGGAATATTCATATCCACAAAAACCCATAGAAAACTGGCATAGTATCTAAACAGCTGAATTATCCCACGTGTACAAGTAAAATATTGAATAGACACTCTCTTCATCTAAAGTACAGGACTGAACAACAAGGACCGGTGTTGATTTTCTAAGTTCCAATAGAGACTTCTTGCATGGTTCTGGGAAATCACTTAGCATCTCTTTTTCTGCAAGCCAGACCCTGTAATGCTTGTCTGCCTTGCAGAGGTAAAGTGGAGACTGAGAAAAGGGCTGGCTGCAAAGGGAGTTAAGAATCTCCTGTCAAAAGTCAGAACAAATGGTTTAGTTTTGATGAAAGTAATCTGGAGTCATTGCACATATGTCGAATAACTGCTGCTTGATAAGAGTCACCTTATGAAGTTTTGATAAAGTCATATTTCACTAGACGGTGCTGTGGCACGTTACTGCCTTGATTTGGTTCATATCTGCATTTTTTCTCCCTTAGGTAAGTAGTAGCATGTGAAAGTGTTCAGTTTTTCAAATGAAGGTCAGTTCAAAGAAACATCGAAATGTTAAAAGATTTCTCTTGGCTCCCCTGATTCCACAAAATTGATTTGGAAGTCTTTCAAGGATTGACTTTACTCACTCTAAGCAATTGCTGAGAAACTTTTAATTTGATGACTTTACTGCCCACTTGGATAGTTCTTCACCTAAGCCTGGGGAGTCTGTTTAAGAAAGTGACAAGTTTTGAGTGACATCTTTTCATTGGTACCAAGAGTGACATTTGCATTTGAGACTAAGGAACTATTGCTTACAAAGGAAGAGAATATAAAATTCACATGACAAAGGCAAACCAGTGAGGGATTCAGCTCAGTGGGAATGGCAGCATCTACAAAGGTCTGTGGCATGAGATTTAAGTACAGAGGAAGGAGAACAAGAATGGATGAATCCATAGTTCTTTTAATGATCTTTGATCCCCTGTTCTTCCTCCCTGTGGACATTAGTAGAGGAACTGGGTCCATTAACAGCTTTATTATATACTTGCAAATGATCAGAGGTTGAATTTACACCCTTTGTGGAACACATGTGAATTGTAATGAATCCTTTCACTTTGCGTGTGTTTTCTGTGTTTTCTTCCAAATTAAAAATAGTCTCTGCATTGCTGATAGTAATGAATGCTCTCAAGTCACAGAACTCGTTAACTCTCCCCAGGAAAGCTTGTGAAACATTGAACAAGCACGTGGAACATGCAAACACTTCCAATTATTAACTCTCATTTTTCTGCATTAGAACTGGAGGTAATTTCTTTTCTTTTTCTGTTTAGCACTTTCAGACCATGTTAAAGACTAAGTTGAATGTCCTAACTCTTCGTAAAGAGCCTCTCCCGACAGTGATCTTCCATGAACCAGAAGCCATTGAGCTGTGCACCACAACTCCCCTCATGAAGACCCGGACTCACACTGGATGCAAGGTACTCAGAATATAAACTGAGGGAGTGACACCATGGTGAGGTGTCCCATGTGATTGTGAGAGCTCTAAAGAGCCCAAGGTAACCAACACACTTCTGGGAATTCCCTTAACTGCTACTATTGCTATAAAGTTTCTAAATAAAAAAATTCTTTGAGCATTTCTGACCAGAAATTTTGGGCTTCAGGAGGGAAAGATTTGGGTTACATGTCCTGATGCAAATTGCAGAGGATTTCTAATAGCCTGTGATGAACTTCTGGTTGTAAACACTGACATTATTTCTTTAAGGGCTAGTGTTGCAGCTTAAAACTTGAGGTTTGTTTGGTTGGGTTTTTTTCCTTTGTTTGTTTGGGTTTTTTAAGATAAAAAAGGAAAAAGGGGGGCAGGAGACTTATGTCTTTATTTGGTTAAGCAACAAGATCAATTTGCCCAGTTACAGCAAAGCAGAGCTTCTGTAAAGGCTATTCCTCTTTTTAAAAATTTAATGGCTAAAGAGCCTCGAGTGTGTTCTTCTGTGGTAAGAAACCATATAAAAATAGGAAACAAATCTGCTCTGTTTGCATCTTTTCTTGGAGTCATTTTCCTTGATCACAGAGCTCGCCTGGCCTTGCAGAGCCATGGGCAGCCTTGCAGACTGAGCTGGGTACCAGTGTGGCCTGTGCTGCCAGCTGGGGCTTGCCAGTTGTAGGGAGTATCCACCTGTCCTCAAGGGCCTTAGTGAAAAGGGAGAGAACTGGGCTTCAGGCTCCCCTGCTCTGTAAAATGTTAACTCCAGGAGAGCTGTTGCTTGATGCTATGTGTGCTGGATAAGATCCAAAGTGCAATTAAATGTCCTAAACCCCTTCCCTGCCACAGTGTGTACACCAATGTGCACACACACTCTTCCCTGCTGGGGGATCTGATGTAAGAGAGGTGGGGCTGGAAGGAATTGCTTTCCTCAGCTTCTCTTGGCATACTATGCTTGGGCACCTCACTTCCTCAGCAAAGTTTCTTCTTGGGAAATGTCACTTCCTAAGTGTTTGATTCTTTGCCTGTCACAATAGCCAGGAACAGGGCTCTGCTGGGTGTTGAAGCAGAGCTGCCCTGTGCTGATGCAGAGGAATGCAGGGGAAGCAACCCTAATATGCTTTGTATGATAGCTCTCAGCATCTGCTCTTCCATGGTGATGCTTTTTGTCCTTTATGTTGGCATCTAATGAATTTTTAGGGAGTATTAGCTATGATCAAAATGGTTCACAAAGTATCTGGCTTTCACCCCTAGTGAGAGAGGTCAGGCATAATAATCCTTTCTGAAATCAGTTTATCTTTGTGAATGTGTATAAAATTTAAATGAAGCTTTTTATTCAACTTTAGTCCATCAATTGGAAAAGAATTGCAGAGAGATGTTGAACCCCTCAGTGAAGAGAATCTCATTCTATATTTAGATCTCTTTTATTTATTCATTAATTTTTCCTGCAGTATAGCATAGTAGTGCTGACTAGGGAACATCTGCTACCACAACACTCCCATTTTCCTTCTTGCATGTTTCTCCTTCTCCCCTTCCCCTATAGCTGGTTTACCTCCTGTCAGTGCTGGAGTTTTATGATGGTGGTTTTGGGGTAGTGACCAGGCCCTCTTCAGGTGATTCAGCTGTTGTGATTTTCAGTACCTGCCCTGGGAAGATGATTCCATGTATATGTTGTTCCTGTGGCTAAGAAATCCTCTCCTGTTAATAACTGAAAGGCTTCAATTTTGCCCAGTCTCTGTAGTCACAACCTCTTTCTTTTCCCCCTCTTTTTTCCTTCCTAAACGTGTCCTTTCTGCCAGCTGTTAATAGGTAATTTATTTTCCTGTCCTCTTTTCCCTCTGATTATTATTTTTTTGCTGACTGATACAATAGCAGTGTTGCCATAAAAAAGATAGAATTTTATAATATGACTTTTTGCTCTGGCAGGTCTGATCTATTCCTGTTATTCTGGGTGTAAGGCAGGAGATGCTGTGATGCTGCTGGTACCACCAGGCCTGTCTGGTTCTGAGACTTGGGCTTTTCAGGCAAGAGCACAGCATCCAGTTTCTACTTGCTTTCATGAGTCACACTTTTTTGATCCTTAATCATTTTATTCCTCTTGACTGAAATCCCTCCAATTTTTCTATGTAATCCCATTAATGAGATAGCATCATTTGTCTGACAGAGGCTCCAGACATCTAATTTCATTGCACAGTTTTAACATAAGCTTCAGCTGGCACCATCTTGTTATGGGAACTTGACACATGCAATTGCTTTGCTGTTTAGAGGTCTGGGCATTGGTTTTCTGATGTGATTGCTCTTTTACTTGTCCTTTCATCACAAGGCAGGCTTCTCTTTTTGCTTTCATTTGAAGTTAGCTGCTGAATCTTGAGGAAAAAGCCTTTTTTCCTGAGATCTTTCTCATTTAGTAATTCAATGGGATGTTTTTAGGAATAGCAGAGAAATGTCTAGTTTGAAGTAATCTAGGGGAACCCCCACCAAATCTGGAAAGTGAAACAGTTAAACAAATTCAGAGAGCTTTTCTTTCTTGTTCCAGTTCCACATCTGATGCAACTTTGTTGCCATCGTAGTTTCTCAAATATATTTTTTACTTATAACAGAAGGCTTAAGATTCATTCCTTCTGTAACTGCATGTCTACACCTGCCTGCTTAGGTCTGATGTGCTTATTGTCCTTCCTGCCCTTCTGGACTCGTGGGCATGATTTCCCCAAGCAGGAGAAATGGATCACAGAGCAGCACAGAGTTCTAGGTACACATTTGGGAGTTTGTGGTGCTGGTTGCTCAGTCAGGTGGGTTGACTTGGAGGCTGTAGTTCCCAAAGGGCACCAGCCCTGTTTGCAAATGGGGAGTGCCAGCCCTGGGATCAGAGTGGTGCAGCCCCATGCAGCAGACAGCCCAAACCAGAGCAGGATTTCTGGGTACAATGAAGTACTCAGCCTCTGTGTTGTTTCCTGGGGTATCATTTGCTTTATTTGAACCACGGTGTGCAGTAGCTGGGAGGCAGCTCTGTGGCCCAGGGGCTGCAGCTTCTTGTGCTCCTGTAGTGAGGATGCCGAGGCAGGGACTGGGATGCAGTGCCCAGAGGGCTGTCATTTCTCTGGGACACACAGCTGGGGACCCATGGGCATCCTGCTTCTTTCCTGCAGCGGCTGTGGAATTTATGAATGCTGGATCACCAAGAGCTAAGGTCGGCAGCTGCTCCAAAGAATCAAAAAACCCAACTGGCTTATTGTATACCTGTAAATGGCAAGTCTTAGCTTAAGCTAAACCATCCATTCCTGAAGAATGACAAAAAAAAAGTGAAAATAAATATTTTGCTAGTAGCTGGACCACACTTTCAGTCCCAGGTTCTGATTTGATTTTATTTTAGTAGAGCATGCTTTCCATTCGGGTATGAGTGTGATTTAGGTATGTGTATATAAAAAAGTGCTCATTCTTCTTCAGATCCTAAGGATTTCAATTAGACTGTGGCTGTCCTGCTTGTGAGTATTTCATGTTGAATGGCCACTCCTGTGTTTCAGCTGGAAACCTCCTTGCTTACCCTAGCACTAAGTACCACCAGATGGAATGTGCAAAATCTGGAGTATCTCCAGAAAATAAGTTACTCTCTACTCAGAAATGCCTGTTTTCTCCATGCCTTTTAACAGATTTTGCTTAAGTTCTGCATGGTTTATTCTTCCTTAATGTCCTAATTGGCTTATATTGATTCTAATGTTTCTTGATTTCTGTCCCTTTGAGCCGTGGTGGTGGCATGAAGGGAGCTGCCTAAATGACTTTCTCTCTCCTGCTGTAGCTTTTCCAGGCACTGGTGCAGTAATGCAAAAGGACAGAGGTTAAAAATGCTGTCTGCAATCTTTAAAGTGGTGTAGTAGGTTTATTTTTTTTTTTCCTTTTTATTGGAAGACTCTTCAAAGTGAAGTCAGTGCTGAATAATCAGCACTGGGTCAGGCAATCTTATTCCTCCAGTTCCCACCAGTGGACAGGCTTTTCTCAGCAGCCTGGGAGACTGAGAGGAACATAAACAGTGAAAGTAATTTTTTTCTTTAGAGGATGCCTTAATGAAAAGGGGAAACGTATTTCAGTGATATGGTATTTACAGGAATGATACTTGTTGTTTGCCTGTCTTATTGGGATTGATGTGGTAAGCTTATTAATTCAGGCTGTGTGGAAGGTATGATGTGGAAACTTCTGTGATGGTGTGTCTTAAATTAAGATGGATGAAAGTCTTGTTTGACAGTTTGTATAAATGGCATTTGTGGGGTAATAGTGTTTTAAAATCAAGTCTTGCACATACGGATAGAGATTTAAAAGTAGACAAGAAGTAACATAAATAAATGGAGTTTGATTTTTCAGAGTACCTTAATAGCTTCACTCCCAAAGCAAAAAGAAAGTATTTCTTGTACTAACCTGGCTGCAGGCTGGTGATGACAGTGGGACCAAGGCCACAGCTGGGCTTCTGTGTCACCAGTGCAGTGTCAGCAGTTGGACACCAAGCTTGACTGGTGTAACTCTGGGGCACGCCTGATGTTATACATGTATACCTGATGCTATAGGTTTGTGACCCTATGAACTGGGTTTGGGGTGTTTTCTGGGACAACTGGGCAGTGCCTGAGATGCCCTGACATGGGCCTGCCCTCCAGCAGCAGCTCTGGCCCTTTCAGCAAAGCCACAGCCTGTTGCCCTTGTTCCTGCTCTTCTCCTGGCTTTGCTGGCTGCTGACAACCGTTTTCATTTTTCCTTTGTCTCTCTGTATTTCTCACATTTTTCTTTTCTCAAAAGTGGCTTTCACCATTAGAGACAATTCCATCACCTGTGGGCCCTACTTAACAATCTCCATGCAGGTGAAATTGTGTCACATGCTTTGAGCAACAGAATGTACAGCAGTGCAGCAGAGACTGGAAGTTTGGCCTGCAAGGGCTGAACAGATGAATGGGGATACAATTCAGCATCATTAAGTCACCCTAGGATATTGGGGAAAGCATATAATAAGCTTATAGG